ACCCACCACCTGGGGAAGGGATGGGATGGGATGCGGGAAGAGCATCCCACGTACATGTGTGGAAGGGTGTCCGGTCCGGCAGCGAGCGGGTTTTTCTCCGGATGGGGAGAGATTTCTCCATCTCCTCCTTCAGGATCAGCTTCCCAAGGTTGGAGGTGACCTGGGGGCGAAGGGACATGGGTGGGGGGGGGTCTCAGCAGGGCCCCAGCCCCTGGCAGGGGGCCCGCCTGCCCGCTCTGCCCCTCACCTTGCTCAGCTCCTGCCTCTGGAGCTCCCGCAGGTTCTTCATCTCCTCCGTCAGGTCCTCCTCCTCCTCCTCCCCTCTTTTGGAGGCCATCCGCCTCCTCCACTCCGTCTCTGGGGGGAAAAGAGGGGACGTTATACCCATCCCCAGCATCCCTGTGGGGGGGTCTGGGGGAATAAACCCCCCGGCACAGCCCATCCCCTCGCCTGCCCCTGCTCCCCACCTACCCACGACGGCCAGGGATGGGGGGCACGGCCAGTAGTCGGTCTCGATCTTGGCGGGCTGGTTGGGGTCTGGGGGCTGCGCCGCCGGGAACTTGGAGGATTCGATGATCAAATCCTCTATGGGATGCTTCCCGTGGTGGGTGCCGGAATGGTGCTCTGCGGGGCAGAGGGGGGGGTGAGGCAGCGCCCCAGGGTGCCCTGTCCCGTGGGACAGACACCCCCACTCACCTTTCTGCCTGTAAATCGGAGGCTTCTTGTATATGTTGAGCTCCGTTGTGTCAGTCTCTGCGAGAAAAAAGGGGATTGGGGGCTGGGAATGGCTCTGAAAAGGTGCTTGCCCGGACCCCCTGGTCTGCACTGGGGCTCAGGGTGCCGGGGGGGTGGCAGTGCCGGGGTACCGGGCGTACCGGGTCGGTGGAAGTGCTGCACGCTGCTGCGGCCCGAGCTGCTGCCCTGGCGAGAGGGGGGCTGCTGGGCGCTGCCGGGGGTCCGGTTCTCCAGCCACTCCCGGATGACCTACGGGCAAGCGGGGCTGGTGAGCAGCGAGAGCCCAGCAATTCGGCATCGCCCCCTCCTCCTCCTTGGAGACCCCCACGGGCATCCCAGAGCTGGGGCAAGGGGTGTCGGTACTCACCTCCGGAGATGGAGGAGGAGAGATGGATTTGGGAGACAGGGAGCGCTGCAGAAGGCAAGAAGCAATTTATTCCAGCAGCTGCACATCTGCCCTCTGGGACCCCTCTATCCAAGGGGCTTCCCCCTGCCAGCCCCCCCAAAAAACTAGGGGATGCGAGTGGCCCTGGGCACCCTCACCTCTCGGCTCCGGGGCAGCTCCACGTGCTCCATCAGCGAGTAGGTGAAATGGGGTTCATAGATCATCAAGTCGGGGCGCTCGATGTCCAGGATCGCTTTGTCCTTGGGGATGGCAGCCAGGTCCTTGTAGCCCAGAACCTCGTTGTCCATTTTGGCCTAGAAAGAAAGAAAAGCACCTTCGGTTTTGGGTGCAGAAAGGGAACGTTGGGGAGCGGGGAGGGCTTCCCTGGGGCTGGCATCCTCCGTGGGCCCTCTGGGGTGATGGGGAGGTTTGGGGAGGCACACCCCAACCCCACGGATGGAGGGATGTTGGGGGGAGATGTAAGCAACCTCTTACCACGATACTGGAGGGCGATCCAGGGACGCTGGACCCGCGGGAGGAACAGACGCTCCCAGGGGAGGTCAGTGGTTGCTGGAAGGAAAAGGGGAGATTTTAGCAAACCTTGCCCTCGGCACGGCCAGCCCAAGAAGGGGCTCAGGGTCATGGTCAGGACCCCGGGGCATGGCAGGGGGGCCCGGGGTCACCCCTGTGCTCCATGGACCTCAGTGCACCGGGGCAAAACGTCCTTGGATGGGATATTTCTGGATGGGTGCTGGGGTCTCCTTTGCTCCGGCGCTGTGGTTCAGGGCAGGGGACACCCGGGAGGTGACAGTGGCTTGGCCAGGACACGTTGCCACTAGATGGTGCTGCCAGGCTGGGCTGGGAGGAGGAGGAGGAGGAGGAAGGCAGGGCCCTGCTAGCAGCATCCCAGGGTGACGCTGCTGATGTCCTTGGCCACTAGCCCTTGCCCTTGGCCACCAGCCCCTTTTCCGGGCCCCCCCCTGCCTGCCTGCCCCCGGCCCCCCGCCAACCCCCTGCCCACAGCCCACGGCCCCCGGCCCCCTGCCCACAGCCCCCCCTTACCTTCTGCAGTCTTTCCATTCAGCTGTGGGCTGGAGGGGCTGTGTCAGTCCCAGGGTCCTGCATGGGGAGGGCAGGGGTTTGGGGGCACTGCCAGGGTGGGCACGGAGCACCCCAAGGCAGCCCCCTGCGCACCGGACCCTAATGCAGCACGAGGCCGGCATGGCCCCTCTGCCAAATAGTCACACGCTGGCAGCAGGACAGGCTTGCCAGGGGATGCCACCGACCCCGGGGGGGTGGCCGAATGGCTCCGGGTGGGGTAGGGG